TTGAGCCTGATATTGAGGTGTGTGGGGTAGTCATCCCCAGAAGAGGGATCCTTGTTGGTTTCAGAGTTGTAGAAGAAGTTGGACCAGTTTGGGTCGGTCTGCATGAACCGGAACTCAAACAGCTCCCTCAGACACAACTGCAGGATGTTGTAACAGATCTGCAGGGACCAGATAATGAATCACATGGTCACACAAACCAGCTGCTTTATCTCTGTAAAGTTTGAAACCGTCTTATCGTTTAGTTTTTCAAAGAAATAAAAGTAATCACTGTTTCTGTGTCGAGTCACTCATTTAATAAAGAAAGCAACATTACCCGTTTCTGACTTCCTTAATGTACCATTGTTAAACAAGTTTCCTAAAAAAACCCAGAAAAGTCTGAAATGATCTTGTTCTGGATAAGTAAAAAATAATAACCAAGTATTTACAGACATTTGGGCTTCCAGTCCAACATCATTCTTCTCTAACACCTACAATATGCTGGAAAACAAGATTGCTGCAAAATCTATGACTAAAAACATTCAGCAGACCAAAGCAATTATTCTGCACCATTTTCATTGTCAACAGAACTAGATAGGTCTTATTTCTTATTAATTATTAATTTAGCATCACATTGATTTGTTTGTGGAGGAAACTGTTTCGTATTAATTTAATTTTTGTGTAACAGGAGATAAAATAAAAAAGATTTTCTTATAATTCAGCTAAAAATGACAAATTATAGATGGAAGCTATAAACCTAAACCTATTATTGAAAAACAAGTTATAGAAAAGGTCACAAAGACTCCAAGCTCTTCTTTAAACACTATTTAATTCAGAATTTCCATTCATTTCTGGTGAGCCTGGATTCCAGATTTATAATTTAAAAAAATATTAAAAATCAAATGAAAAATCTATGAAACTGCCTTCCTCTACATTTGGAAAGCAAATTCATATCACTCTCCTCCAGGATTTGCTTAACTGAGTAAGTTAAATGTTTAATAATGAAGAAAATCACACAGTAGATTTAAAAAATCTAAGACTGCTCATCGAGTTCAGACCTTAAACACCATTTTTAGAGGTTGACAATCTCCCAGAAATGTTCCTTTTAAAGTGAAATCAGATTTACTCTCATATTTTTCTTATAAATGTAGAAATTCTCATCTGCAATCTTAAGCATCTTCATGC